CTGTTTTTTCGCCATTTTTCAGACTGTTTTCAGGCACTCCACCCATGAAGACCAGCTGGCTGGCACCAGAAACCAGAAGACCAGCTGGTGACGCCACACATGCCCACAGAGAGGGCTTTGCGTGCCACCTCTGGCACCTATGCCATAGGTTTGCCATCATGGCCCTACACCATTTCTGACCGGTGACAGACCAGTCTCTTCTTGAAAGCCTCCAGGGATGAAGCTCCCACAACGTCCGAAGGCAGCTTCTGTTCCATCGGTTGATTGTTCTCATTGTCAGAAATTTCCTCCTTATTTCCAGGTTGAATCTCTCCTTGTCCAGTTTCCATCCATTATTCCTTGTCTGGCCTTTGGGTGCCTTGGAAAACAGGTTGATCCTCTCCTCCTCTCTATGGCAGCCTCTCAAATATTGGAAGACTGCTATCATGTCTCCCCTGGTCCTTCTCTTCTTCCTGCAACCGGCCCTTGGAAAGCACCATCAAAACTGAAAGAGATGTTGAATTCTGGGGTTTTTTTAAAAAATTTTTTTTTGAAGTTAAAGCTTTATCAGCTTCCCGTTAAGGCCTCAGGTGCTCCTCCTCACAAGGTGAGATGGGGTAGACACAAAGCCGTCCACGGTCCATTTAATCTTTGCCCGCACTGGCCGCCTCCATTTCATCTGGCTTTCTCACCAGGCCTTCTTTGTTAACCACACCCGGCGTTCGGGTCGGAGAATATGCACTCAGAGTAACTGCTTAATGGTACTTATTAAAGTCATGTCCAGAGCAGAATGGTTCGGTGAAAGGCTTAACCCCGGGGTACCCTTGATTCCAGGTGGCAAGACGATAACTTGTTAGCCGGGCCTTTTATACTAGTGATTAATGTTTGTGTGTAGTGACTCTTATTCCGGACTCCTGAGTTTCCAGCAGCCGTGGGGAGTTAGGCCATTATTGCGCTGCTTGGATGGATCAAGTGATGGGTAAAATAACATTTTAAGGAGAAACTTCCTAATGGTGAGGACAATTAACCAGTGGAACAGAAGTTGCCTTCAGAAACCGTAGGCGCTCCATCACAAGAGGTTTTTAAGAAGAGACTGGAGAGTCGCTTGTCTGAATTGGTATAGGTTCTCCCAGGGGCGGGATTCAATTTTTTTAACAACCGGTTCTGTCAGCGTGGCTTAGTTGGTGGATGTGGCTTGGTGGTCATGTGACTGGCTGGGCGTGGCCAACTCAACATCAGTCACATCGAGGCACACATCTCCTCGCCTGGCCTCTCGTGACTGTGGGGATGCTGCAATAGTCGTAAGTGTGAAAAAGGGTCATAAGTCACTTTTTCCAGGGCCATTGTAACTTTGAATGGTCACTCCACACAAGCAAAGGACCAGCAAAGGAGTGGAAAAAAAAACTCCAGAGATGTTCCTGAGACAGGAAGTCTAGTCCTGCCAAGAATGTAATAACAGAGAGGCAGTTTCTGTAAGCAACACCAGAATGTTTCCTTCCTGCCTTCCTTACAGGATTAGCCCAGTAATTTCTTCTAACAACCGGTTCTCCAAGCTGCTTAGAATGTTAACCGGTTCTAGTGAACAGACGTGAACCGGTAGAATCCCACCCCTGGGTTCTCCTGCCTGAGCAGGGGCCTGGACTGTTCATCTGCCTCGCTGATGGAGGCTCGGGAGTCGGCACATAACTCCCAGACGGCCCTGGCCCCATCTCTGTGTTGGACGCAGATCCTTCGTCCAGGTCCTCCCCAGACTCCAGCACTGGCCCAGGTTCCTCCCCACTGTCCGACTCTGCTGCCAGCTCCGCAGGCCGCGCCGGGGGACCACAACAGCTTGCAGTGTCCCGGGGTCAAATGTATCCGCTTTTGTGACCTCCTGACCAGCAAAATCAATGGGAAATCCAGGTTCCCTTAAGAGCCGTGCCATTCACTTAACAAATGCGAGGATTCATTTAACAACGGCGGCAAAAAAGGGTCATAAAAAGGGGGGCAAAAACTCCCTTGACCAACGGAAGCTCCCCTGAAACCGAGCAAAATTCAACACTTGCAACTTTTAGTGGCTGTGTACAGGCCTGGAAACACACCCTCCGTGCCGAGTTGCGTTGATCCAAATCTTAATTAGCGACCGAGCCGATCGGTTGCCATGCAGAGGGAAGCAAAAAACAACAAACCATGAAGAAGATTTGAACTTTTCCAAGGAGAGGCTTTACCGTCAGGGGAGAAAAAGAAAGAAAGAGGGGAAAAAAAATTGGCTTGTGTTCACGCGCAACTCAGCTGTGGTCTCCGCCTGATAGGGTAGAACATGCTTCTGCATTAGCTCTTTGAAAAGAAAGGAACGGGGCCACAACTCCGACCTGCAATTTTGTTTCTGCGCCCCCCTTTTCCGAACTGTTCTATTAATGCCAATCAAATTGAGAAAATGATCAAATGAGATTGCATTTTGAGCATCGTAAGCTGTGTAATGTCTCTTCTATTAGGCCCGTAATTGCTTCCCTGCTGGGGTAAAAAAAAAAAAAAGGAGAAGAAGGAGAAGGAGAAGACGACAACAAAGGCCTACAATCATGAGATGTCATTATCCTCGGACCAGCAAACCGGCCTTTGCAAAAAAAAAAAAAAACTTCAAAGGCTCCGGGGTTCTTGAATTGCATTTGGCTGCTATTGTGGAAGCCCGGGCAATCTTGATGTGGTGTTTACACGGAGGTAAGGCGCAGTGGCAGAGAAAGCCCTGAGTGCCTTAGTCTAGAGCCATTAAAAAAATTGTACATTATGTTTCTGGCTTTGAAGTAAAGAGAGATGGAGGAAGGGGTTTTTTTTTTTTTTAAGGGAAGCAACCGGGCAGGAGCGCAGCTGAGCGAGAGAGACGGGAGGCAGGCTCCTTTCTATCAAAGGAGCTCATCGTCCTCGGATTTCTCGGAGAATCAAGGCAATTCCTGCCCGGGGTCGGGAAAAAAAGAAACCGATGCTTGAGAAAATGCGCCGGGAATTAACGCGGGGGGAAACATTCAACTTCCAACCGGGTTTAGGCTATCGAGCGCAGGTGTGTGCACCCATTTAAGGACGGGCCTTGCAGCCGTCATAATGGAGAGCGTTAATAGAAAGCTCGTCCGTCCCCTCCGTCTCCCCGAAGGCTGAAAGAGGCTTCGGCCGAATGCTGCTTTGTGCCGCCGAGAGGCGTCAGGTGGAAAGGTGCTTAGTAGGTTCTCCCTTCTCTGCTCCTCAGGTACGAACCCTGGCTGGCTGCCCCCTCCCCACCCACCCACCCACCCCCCAAAAAATCCATGGAAAACCAGGAGGCTACACAAGACACCGGCTTCTATCTGAATCCCGATTTCCACCCAAAATGCCACCGGCTCCCTAAAGGTTCCCAAACGGTTCTTTTGAAATTAAAAATAGAAAGTGACTATGGTCCCCGTTTTGGGTGGAAGGAGCATTTCTAGCCAAGGGCAACCGACTAAAATGTAAGAAAATATAAAATATAAGAAAGTGGGTGGGTGGTAGGGAAAGGGCAACCTCACTCACTAATTTATTTATATTTTATTTTATTTTATTTATTACATTTTTGTGCCGCCCATCTCCCCTGTAAAGTGCCTGTGGGCAGCAATAGTGTGTTATATTTTTATCCTGCCTTTATTATTTTATAAGTAACTCAAGACTGACTTCCTTCTTCCTTCCTTCCTTCTTTCCTTCCAAATTTTCTTGCTCCCTTTTCCCTAATCATTTTAACCATTCAGCAATCCATTTCCTTTCTTGTTTTCCTTCCTTCCATCATCTCCCTCTTTCTTTCCTTTTTTCTCTTTTTCTTTCTCTCCTTCCTTCCTTTTTCTTCCTTCCTTCCTTTTCCTTCCTTCCTTCCTTCCTTCCTCCTTCCCTCCCTCCCTCCCCCCTCTCTTTCTTTCTTTTTTCTCTCTGTCTCTTTTCTTCCTTCCTTTTTCTTCCTTCTTTCCTTCCTCTTTGTTCCTTTTCCTGAATTTGAATTTTTTGATGGTCTATTTTGTTACTAAGAAGGGTCTCTCAAACTCAACTTTTAGGTGAGGATACCTATCACGCACTCTCCACATAAACGAGATTTTTGGAATTTTAAGTTGGGGGAAGAAGTTGTCAGCTTCCCACGAGCCATACCTGCCAGCCTGCTCAGGGTTTACTGTGATTTCACTATTACTAGCATTAAGGAAAAACAAACCATCCATAGCTGTATTAACAGCACAACCTCCCTGGCTTTATCTCAGGATGTAAGATTAAAAGGTTAGCTGATACCGTGAAGGAGACTGGTCACACATTTTACCTGGAAAATAAGTGTGAATATTGGAAAGACTGCTATGAACACTCATAAACGGGTTCCCTACAAAAAAAACACACCCATTTACAATAAAGCAAACCGATAAATAAATAAGGGAATACGGTGGCTCAGTGGCTAAGATGCTGACCTTGTCGATCAGAAAGGTCGACAGTTCGGTGGTTCGAATCCCTAGCACCGTGTAACGGAATGAGCTCCTGTTACTTGTCCCAGCTTCTGCCAACCTAGCAGTTCGAAAGCATGTAAAAAGTGCAAGTAGAAAAATAGGTACCACTTTGGTGGGAACAGCGTTCCATGCGCCTTATCGGCATTTGGTCATGCCGGCCACATGACCACGGAGACGTCTTCGGACAGCGCTGGCTCTTTGGGTTTGTAACAGAGATGAGCACCGCCCCGCTAGAGCCCGAAATGACTAGCGCATATGTGCTACGGGATCCTTGAGGTTTAAACCGATACAATCTTACTTTCCCAGTTCTGACTTCCGAGATCCTCCTTCTTCGCCCCGCCCACTCCCCAACTCCGGGAGCTAAATTTGATTTTTGACTTTGCACAAAATCTAAAACGCTCCTGGGCCATAGCCACTTCCCCACACCGCCGCCGCCATTTTTATTTTCGAGCCTACAGGACCCAGAAGTGTTCTGGTCAAATAAAAGGCAGCTAACGTTCCACTTTGCAGGATGCACGTTTCCCCTGTTCCCTTTTCTAACGAAAGCAGCCTTGCAACGATTACCTTCTCTTCAGAGCTTTCTCCTCTCTGGTTTTTGCCATGGAGCCGAAGGTAGGAATTGTTCGGCTGGGCTGCTAATCCCAGCGTGTATTTGTTTTTCTCGATGAAGTCTTTTTCGGGCCTCGGTTTTGGTTCCTTGAACCGGACCCTGCAGCCGGAGCTGGCCAAACTGTCATTGCTGTCATAGTGATGGACAAAGCCTGCTTTTCTTCCTTTCTTCTCCAGACTGGAAGTTCTGTCTCTACCATCTCCAGGTCCATCACTGGAAGGGTTCCAGAGTTCTCCAGCACCTGCTGATGAGACATGTTGAGGACTTTCCTGCAATGGGGAGCGTTTGGAGAGCATCCCGTCCTGGGAAGGAGAGCAGGCCAGATCGAGGGAAGTCAAGCTGAAGTTTTCCAGTTCTTCCCGATGGGAATCCTCTAACTTGAGAAAGCTTCTTCCTCCTGGACTGTCTTTCCAGTTTGGATTATAGCGCAGCTCGGAGTACTTGTCCACGACGCCTTCCTGAGCGCTAAAAAGAAAGCAAGAGGCTAAGGAAGAAATTTAAAAGTTGGCCAAGAGAGTCGCGGTTTATATAAAGACATTCAAAATCTTATCTCCTTAGACATCCCAGAATAATTCATGTTGAAAGTCGCCCAGAGTTGCCTTGTGGTGAGATGGGTGGCAACCAAATGTGAATAGAATAGAATAGAGAATAGAATAAAATATAGAATATAGAATAGAATATAGAATAGATTAGAATATAGATTAGAATATAGAATAGAATATAGAATAGAATATAGAATAGAATATAAAATATAGATTAGAATATAGAATAGAATATAGAATAAATTAGAATATAGAATAGAATATAGATTAGAATATAGAATATAATAGAATATAGATTAGAATAGAGAATAGAGAATAGAATAAAATATAGAATATAGAATAGATTAGAATATAGAATAGAATAGAATATAGAATAGAATATAGATTAGAATATAGAATAGAATATAAAATATAGATTAGAATATAGAATAGAATATAGAATAAATTAGAATATAGAATAGAATATAGAATATATATTAGAATAAAATATAGAATGTAGAATAGAATATAGAATAAATTAGAATATAGAATAGAATATAGAATAGAATACAGATTAGAATATAGAATAGAATACAGAATAGAATATAGAATAGAATAAAATATAGAATATAGAATAGAATAGGAAGGGACCTTGGAGGTCTTCTAGTCCAGCCCCCTGCTCAAGCAGGAGACCCATCTCAGACAAGCGACTGTCTAGTTTCTTTAAAAAAAACTCCAGTGATGGAGCACCCGTGATTTCTGAAGGCAACTTCTGTTCCACTGGTGAATTGTCCTCACTATTGCTAAAACTTCTCCTTAATTCCAGGTTGCTTCTCTCTTTGGTTAGTTTCCATCCGTTGCTTCTTGTCCTGCCTTCTGCGGCTTTGGAAAATAAGTTGACCCCCCCCTTCCCCTTTTCTTTGTGGCAGCCCCTCAAATACTGGAAATTTAAAAAATTATAAATAGTAATAATTCATGCGATTTAGGAGAGATTCAAGGATGCTTATTCAAGGGAGGCGAAACTGTGCTATTTGTTTGTCCTGATTAGAATACACTTTATAGATTAGTCCACCATGTACGACCTTGATCCGAATTTCCCTTGCTAAGCCAGGCGGTTGTTAAAGGGAGTCACGCCTGATTTTACAACCTTTGTTTAAACCATGGTTGTTAAACTAGTCATTGCAGTTAGATAGATGGATGGATAGATGATAGAGATAGAGAGACAGATAGGTAGAGATGATAAATATAGATAGATAGATAAGATAGATAATAGATAGAAGATAGATAGAGGTAGATAGATAAATAGACAGGGACGCGGTGGCTCAGTGGGTAAGACGCTGAGCTTGTTGATCCGAAAGGTCAGCAGTTCGGCGGTTCAAATCCCTAGTGCCATGTAATGGGTTGAGCTGCAGTAAGACTGGGTAGCCAATAAATTTAATAAATAAATAAATTGTACCCAATAAGTTCTGAAGAATTGAGAAAGATGACTTAAGCTCTTAAGGTTTGGCAGTCAAACCACGAAATCTTTCATTTTTCAAGGCCAATCAGGTTAATAAGCGCTTTTTTTTTTTCTTTTAAAAACTAAATCCCATACTCTAGATTAAAAAAGAGGCTCGGGGATATACCAGTGTTTCCTAGGGCCCCAAATGACTGTAAATAGGGTGACTGTTTTGTAAAGGGACACAGTGGCTCAGGGGCTAAGACGCTGAGCTTGTCGATCAGAAAAGTCAGCAGGTTGGCGGTTCAAACCCCTAGCACCGGAAAGTGTGCTGGAGTGAATTCCCGTTCCTTGTCCCAGCATCTGCCAACCTAGCAATTCGAAAGCACGTAAAAATGCAAGTAGAAAAAAAAAAATAGGGACCCCTTTGGTGGGAAGGGAACAGCGCTCCGTGCACCTTCGAAGGTGTTTAGTCATCATGCCGGCCACATGACTACGGAGACGTCTTCGGACAGCGCTAGCTCTTCTTTGGCTTTGTAAACAGAAGTGAGCACCGTCCCCCAGAGCCGGAAACGCCTAGCACATATGTGTGAGGGGAACCTTTACCTTTACCTAGATAGACAGATAGAGATGATATAGATGACAGATAAGATAGAAGATATAGATAAATATAGAGATGATATACAGTAGATAAATGATATATGATATCTAGATGATAGACAGATAGACAGATAGATAGATAGATAGATAGATACATACATACATACATACATACATACATACATACATAGGAGATGATAGATAGACAGATAGATATAATGCATTAGACTAGTTAGCCTGATGATAGATAGACAGATAGATATAATGCATTAGACTAGTTAGCCTTAATGGACTCCATCTGAATTAGCAGCATGCTAATTTGGAAATGCATCAAATTAAATTTTCCCTGAATGGCAAGTCCAGGATCCTTCCTGCCTGATCTCCCCAACGCAGGCCCAGCTCTTCACCCAATTAACATCCTTTCCTGCTTGCGATAAAAACCATTCAAAAGCTCCCCACTCTGCTCGCCGGAGAAGCATATGGGAAGCGGGCTGTTCATAATGAGTCCCCTTTTCTCTCTTTGCGATGTTTGTCTCCAAGCAGGGCATTAAATGGGACATGTTTATCATTTTTCAATTCGGGCTTAATTTAATCCTTTGAAAACCGCCATTATTTGGCATTTATGCGGCATTGACGCTCCAATGAGCATAACAAATCCAATTTTCTATCTGCACAGAAAAGGAAAGTTAATGCAGCTCTCGGAACAAGTGAGGAATGTTTTAATTTTGCACTTAGGCAGTTATTGAATAAAAAGAGACCTCTGCAAATCCTCCCCCCGCCCTGCAAATCCTTCAAAATAATAATGTTTTCCAGAGTGATATAGTCTAAGATCTCTTGAACATGGCAGACCCTCTGTATATTATTTGAAATCAATGAAATTTATAGCCATTAACTCGCCACTTATTCTGCTAACGGCTTCTAAAATGATTATACCTGCATTTTTTTCCCCCCCCACTCTCCTACCCGAGGATGAAGCAAACGCTCGCTGTGAGAGTGGCACACGATGAAAAACAAGAGAATAACATCAATACAAAAGCAGGATTAAATATAAGGTGGGTGTACGGATCATTGAATTAAAACACAACTCAGTAAAACCATATGCCTGGTGTTACAAAGGTTCAGAAGTAGCCAAACAGACAACCAATTAAATATGAGCCGATGCAATATTAAGGTGCATTCATCGAGGGGTTTAATCAAGATCACGTGAGGTACTAATACCATTCTGTAAAGCCTCAGTAAAACCACACCTAGAGTACTGCATCCAGTTTTGGTCACCACACTATAGAAAAAAAAAACATTGAGACTCTAGAAAGAGTACAGAGAAGAGCAACCAGGATGATTAGGGGACTGGAGACTAAAACATATGAAGAACGGTTTCAGGAACTGGCCATGGCTAGTCTAGGAAAGAGAAGGATCAGGGGAGACACGATAGCATCTTCCAGTATTTGAGGGGCTGCCCCAGAGAGGAGGAAGGGGTCAAGCTATTTTCCAAAGCACCCAAAGGCTAGACAAGGAATAATGGATGGAAACTGATCAAGGAGAGATTCAACCTGGAAATAAGAATTTTTCTAACAGAATAATCAACCCATGGAATAGAAGTTGCCTTCAGACGTTGTGGGAACTTCGTCCCTGGAGGCTTTCAAGACGACACTGGACTGCCACTTGTCAGAAATGATGTAGGGTCTTCCTGCTTGGGCAGGGGGTCAGACTAGACGACCTACAAGGTCCCTTCCAACTCTGTTTATCAATATCAGATGGTGGGGCTCGGAGTTTTATTCTATCGAGATGGAAAAGCCCAACTTCACCAGATGTTAGAAAGGACCTTGTTTACCTTTCATTTTCTCGATTTCCTCTTCCACCCTGGTCCTCGCTCAACCTCTGGGTTTCTTCTCCATCGGACTCTTCTTCGCTCAGGTGCGTGTCTTCCAGACTATCCTGCTCCATGCTGTCCTCTGCCTCTTCTCCGTAGGCCCGGCTGACGCTTTCTTGAGTTTGACGGATTCGTTCCTGCAATTCCCACTGGTACTGGGCCTCCTCAGCAAGGCTTTCCGAATCGGATTCGTTCTGAGCCAGTCCTTCAGAGGCAGTTTGCAAGAAGAAGTAACGGTGGTGTGTTTCGGTCAAGCCTTTCGGGGAAGGGCCGTTGATGTTCATCTTGCAAAAAGGAAGGTCGAACTTGAAGGAATGTCTGGCCCAGTTTTGCCGCCAAAGCAATCGTATTTTAAGAATAATTTCCCAACGCGTTCTCACCTTTAATCCTCGGGATGTTTTCAGCGTATGCCCCCTGAGAATAAATTATTATCAGAATATTAAGAAGCATGAAAAGTTCTTCTAAATGTCAACATTCTGGCTTTTGAAGGGTTGTGGGCTTGAAAACAGTGGTTGCCAACCAGTGGGCTGGGGACCACGGATGGTCCGCGAGAAAATTTTGGTGGTCTGCAGAGAAATGTCACCCACAAAGCAATTAATTCAGGCTGCATGGGAACACAAGGCAGCATCGCCCACATGGCCCGTGGGAACACAAGGCTGGCATCGCTTGTATCACGAATAACATGGTAGTGAGGGGAGGGGGGAAAGGGCGGGGGAGGGAACTTGCCCCACTCACCCCACACGCCTGGCCTGGCTACTGGGCTGCTTCTGTCCGCTTCTTTCTTCTGCTTTTTGGCTGAACGCAAGGAAAGCAAGAAAAGTCTTTCTGTCTCTCCTCCAAAACTCCGCCAGAAATGAGTCTTTGAGACCCTGCAAGGCCTCCTGCTCCAAGAGGCTGCACCGGCAAAGACTCATTTCTGGCGGAGTTTGGGGGAGAGAAAGAAAAACTTCTGCTGCTTTCCTTGCATGAAGCCAAAAGTCTCTCTCTCTCTCTCTCTCTCTCTCTCTCCCCAAGAATGGAGCTGGAGATGGTATGCTATGATCCCAAATAAAGATCGATTGATCGGTGGGGAATGGGGTGGGGAATTTTCCTGCAGACATTTTTGGGGATTTTCCCAGGTTCTCTGGTCCGTGGGATTTAAAATTATGAGCTTGGTGGTCCCTGAGGTCCAAAAGGTTGGCGACCCCTGCTTTAAAATGTGTTCTGCATTTCTTCTGAAAGTGTAAAAAATGAATGTTGGCGGAAACAGATCCTGGAGAAATCTAACAGTGTCTGGAAGATGAGGCAGCTATATAAACTGATTGACGGATTGACTGATGGAATGAACAAATGAATAAATGAATGAATAAATGAATGAATCCATCCATTCATCCAACCACCTAATAATAAATAACTATTATGGGTCATACGCATATACATACAAACACACACACATATATATTCTATATATGCATATGAAGAAGATGATGAATGAGACTTCATCGAAACGTTGCCTAGATACTACCAATCTTACGCGGGAAAAAACCCGAATAACCAAAGATCCATATATACATATATATATGTATTCTACACACACACATATACATACATATATACATACATACACACATACATTTATTTATTCTATATATACATATACAAAGAGAGGGAGAGAGAAAAAATTATATAGAAGTCCCCAAAGTTGGCAACTTTAAGAACTTGTGGACTTCAACTCCCAGAATCCTCCAGCCAGCTGGCTGGAGAATTCTGGGAGTTGAAGTCCACAAGTTCTTAAAGTTGCCAAGTTTGGGGAGCCCTGATATAAAATTATACTAGTTTTGGGCTCTTGAGTTGAACTTTTTGTACCTGCCCCCTTCCAGGATGACATCGTTTCCCAACCTGGGGCATTCCTTAACATGCAAGAGCAGAAATCCGGCATGCATCTGGATGGAGGGGGAAAAATAAATCCGAATAAAAGTGCATTTTCCCCCCAGCCTTTGCAAGGAAAAAATATATATCAATATATATCTCTCTGTCTCTCTGGGTGAATCCAGAGGCAGCTCCCCCCCCCCCCCCGAAATGCAAATATACACCCCATAAAAGGTTGCAAGGAAAGGTCAGAGAAAAAAGGGTAGGTCTCTTGATCTGGGAATCCCACCCGAAGGCTTCCCTTTTTGGAAAAAGCTGCCCAGCCAGAGGGAAATCTGGGCTCCTGCAGGCAGAAATTCAACAGGGGAAGCCCAGGGCACCTGCAGCCCCGTGGAACCACGCCTTGCCTGGGCAGGGCGGGGGAAGAAGCAGCTTGCAGCCCTCCTTCCCAGCTCCCTGCACCCCACCCCTCCCCCAAGACCAAGCCCTGGCCATCCCGTGGGGGGCGGGCCGCCCCTCCCCACCCCTCGCCCCCCTTGAGACCCGCTCAGTACCTTCCACCAGCCGCAGCGCTGCGGGCTATTCACAGAGCGCGTTTCCGCAGCCCCCGTTAAGCCACCAGCGTGGCTTCCGCCCTCCTAGCAACGGTATCCAGACGCACACACGCCGCGCCGCCCCTGGGCTCGGCGCGAACCAACTGTCCGGTAAGAGGGGGGGGGAAATGGAGGGGAAGCAGCGTTCTTGAGCTTCCGTCTCGGGCTCCGCGAAGATGGTATGGTCCAAAGTCTGTTTTGATTTGCTTTTGTTTGGGTTTTTGTTGTTGTTTTAATCCAAAGGTTTAGGATGTAAACCAAGTTGGCAGTTTTGATGTAAACCAAGTTGGCTCCCTTTTTTGAGGGAGGGGAAACATAAGAAAGAAAAGGAGGGAAGGAGGGAGAAGGGAAGGAAGGGAGGGAGGGAGGGAGGACTGATGATGTTATCTAGTTTGGTAATGAAACGTCTGCAAGAAAACAACCAAGCTCAGAGAGCACCAAGGTTCTCAACAGTTCAACCCTGAGCAAGGAAGGGAGGAAGAAGAAAAAGAGACAGAGGGAAGAATAGAGAAGGAGGGTGAGAAAGAAGGAGGGAAGCAAGGAAAGGAGAAAGGAAGAAAAAGAGATGGAAGAAAGGGAGGGAGGAAGGAAGGAAAGGAATAGGGAAGGAGAGAGGGAAGCAAGGAAAGGAGGAAGAAAAAAGATGGAAGAGAGGGAGTGGGGGAGGAAAGGAAGGAAAGAATGGGGAGGGAGAGTGGGAAGGAGGGAGGGAGGGAAGCAAGGAAAGGAGGAAGAAAGAAAAAGATAGAATAAAGAGATGGAAGGAGGAAGGAAGGAAGGAAGGAAGGAAGGAAAGAAAAGGAGGGATTTTACAGGGCAATTTAGTCAACAGTGCTAATTTCTCTCTCTTTTTAAAAAAATCAAAGTTGCAAATGGTCTGTCTTATGACAGGCCCTCTTTCCTCTCCTTGGCACATTTGAAGTGTATGCTTTTTCCAAAAAGGAACTGCGTTTGATAAAAATTAAGCCCTAATTAATATAAGATAGGTTGCAAACCTCCACATGACTAGTAGGGGGCGGTCTTATCCCAAAACCTGCTGCCTTCTCCTGGTTATCTTGATTTCTGAAGCTTGGATGCGCTACAGTATTTGTCAAATGGATACTGCACTCCACTGTGCTTGCTGTGTAGGGGCTATTATTCTAACCTTCCTTTTAGGGAAGTTTAAAAGATTTCTTGGAGTAATATAATAAAATCACTTTATTTATTTATTTATTCATTCATTCATCTATTTGTTTATTTATTTATTAGCTTGATCCCTGTGCTTCGCTAATGAAACTATGTGGTCAGGCTTAGTTTTTGGGGAGGAGAATAATGGCGGTGGGCGAGAGCAATTCTGCCTCTGCCTATCAGCATCCACCGGTATTCACCTGGCTAGCGTCCTGTCAGAGTGTGAGAGAGTTGAGGGCTGTTTGGAAACTGAAACAATATTTGCTCTGTGAGCAAGAAGGAGACAGCAAGGAGCCTGGGTGTGGCTTAGCTCAACTGTTTTGCACTAAAGCTGCTTGGTGCTGTGAAAGTGAAAGTGAAACTCCTCTGCTTGTGTTTTGCATTTGGAGCAGATTTCTTTTCTGGTGGGGAGTGGGAGTAGCGCTCATCAGAGACTGTTAATAATAATAATATAAGAAATACTAATGATCTGATGGTCATTTTGAAAAATCCTTTCTTAGTGAGCCCCTAGAAGCCAAGAGGAACCTACGTGCCAAATTTCAAGTTTGTAGGCTTTACGGTTCTGGAGATTTTGTGATGATGCATGAGTGGTATTTCTCTTTTATATTTATTTATTGATCAAACATGTACAAGATAACAAGTATAGGTATGAACATAAACAAGAACAAAGGGCGTATATACAGATAAATGGGGACAGTAAGACAGGGACGGTAGGCACACCCCCTTTCAGGACCTCTTAGGAATGGGGTGAGGTCCACGGTAGACAGTTTGAGGTTGAAGTTGTGAGGGGTTGAGGCTTTAACCACAGAGTCAGGTAGGGCGTTCAGGCGTTGACCACTCTGTGGCTGAGGTTGTATTTTCTGCAATCAAGTTTAGAACAGTTTATCTTGAGTTTGTATCGGTTGTTTGCTTGCGTATTGTGGTTGAGGCTGAAGAAGTAGTTGACTGACAGGATGTCACAGCAGACAATTTTGTGTACTATGCTTAGATCGGACCGCAGGCAGCACAGTTCCAGATTGTCCAAGCCCAAAATTTCAACCCTGGAGGCATAGGGAATACTATTGTGAATAGAGGAGTGGAGTACTTTACTTGAAAAATACCTCTGAACCCGCTCAATTGTGTTAATGTCTGATATACAATGTGGGTTCCAGGCGGACGAGCTGTATTCGAGAATTGGTCTGGCAAAGGTTTTGTATAACCTTTGTATATCCCGAAATTGTTAAGTCCACACGAGGAATTTCAACTCCTAAATAATAACTGGCATAAGTTCCCAAGGGCTTTTATGGTATCATTATTACTTTATTTGCAATACTGTTCTGAGATGCATCTTAGTCTAGGAGGCTCTCATTCGAAATCCTCTCCGATCTGGATTTTTAAAGAGATAGTTTTGCAGAACAGTGCAGCGCGGGAATTAAAATTGGAAGAGAAGACGGTTCCTGCTGTTAAACGCAGCACAATATTGTCCTTAGTGTCACATATCCGTTTCTTTAAAGTGGGACAACTCTTTTTCGAAGACTGAAGAATCCTGACTTCCTTCTGAAGGTTTTGACATCCTGGTATATGATTCTTGAATTACATACTTCTCGCTGTTCCTCCAGGGGATCACTGCATAAAATAAAGACACAGGTCATTGCTACTTCAAGCTCATTTCTTTTTCCTTCTGATCCTAGCTCATATTTCAGCCCCAAAACAGCCAGTAAAAAACAGATACAGATTGACAAAGAGTTGGAAGGGACCTTGTAGGTCATCTAGTCCAACCCCCTCAAGCAGACCCTATACCATTTCTGACCGGTGGCAGTCCAGTCTCTTCTTGAAAGTCTCAAGTGATGAAGCTGCCACAACTTCTGAAGATGACTTCTGTTCCTTTGGTGGATTGTTCTCACTGTCAGAAAATTCCTCCTTATTTCCAAGTTGAATCTCTCCTTGTTCAGTTTCCATCCATTGTTCCATTCTGGCCTTCGGGTGCTTTGGAGAATAGCTTGACCCCCTCCTCCTCTCTGTGGCAGCCCCTCAAATTCTGGAACACTGCTCTCCTGTCTCCCCTGGTCCTCCTCTTCCCTAGACTAGCCCGGCCCAGTTCCTGCAACCATTCATCGTATGTTTTAGCCTCCAGTCCCCTTAATCATCCTGGTTGCTCTTCTCTGCACCTTTTCTAGAGTCTCAACATCTTTTTTACAGTGTGGTGACCAAAACTGGATGCAGTGCTCTAGTTGTGGTCCTACTAAGGCTTTACAGAGTGGTATTAGTACCTCCCTTGATCTTGACTGTATCCCTCTGTTAATGCAACTTAGGATTGCATTAGCTTTTTTGGCTGCCATCACACACTGTTGGCTCATATTTAGCTGGTTGTCCATTAAAACTCCAAGCTCCCTCTCACAGTTACTGCTATGAAGAAATCTGGTTTCACCCAGTCTATCTGTGTATTCCATAGCAATGGAACTGCACATTTGTTCACACTTGCTTCTCTTAATTCCAACCTCTGCTCTGCCTGCAAATATGAAGGAATCCCATTTATACATACCGGATGTGTTCTTCTTGAGTCTGGCAGGGGCCTTATTTGCTTTAGGCCTGTAACTCTCAACAGGTTGTTCAGAAGCATTATTATTTTCTATATTAGGGAGGGACAAGAATGAGGTGCAGAATATTAGGCCAGATATCTGTTGTGAAAAGGCAGATTTAGCTCACATACTTATTGATAGTCCTTGATTTATGACTGGTCATTTAAGCAGTAGCAATAGCACTTAGACTTATATACCACTTCACAGTGCTTTTACAGCCCTCTCTAAGTGGTTTACAGAGTCAGCCTATCGCCCGCAACAATCTGGGCCCTCATTTTACTGACCGCGGAAGGAGGGAAAACTGAGTCAACCTTCAGCCTGGTGAGATTCAAATTGCAGGCAGCTGGCAGTCAACAGAAGTAGCCTGCAGTACTGCACTCTAACCACTGTGCCCCCAAGACTCTTAATGACTATTTGAAGTGGCAACAGCCCCTCCAAATCTCCAAACACTGCCCCCAGACATGCACACACAAAGTCACGTGATCACATTTTGAGTACTTGCAACTGGGTCCCTTTGAAGCATCCTGGGGTCACATGACTGGAATTTCTATCTTTTTTTTTTGCCAGGTGTCCTGTGTTTACAGCCATTGGGTCAAATGGATTTGCTTAATGACCACTGTGTTTGCTTAACAACCATGGCATTTGTTAACTAGCACCACCAAAATAGTAAAAAATAAATCAGGTCTAGCCAGGTGATGCCTCCAGTTAGAACTGCAGTGACTTAACAACTGTAATTCTGGACTCAGGTAAGGTCGTAAGTGAAGAACTAACTGTCCACTGTCCCATGTTTACTTGGAAGGAAGCCTCATTAAATCCAATCTGACACTCAAGTAAGTGGGTACAGTGACTGTCCCACCACCAACACGTGCTTGAGCCAGACATCCTAATTTTCAGGTGAAATCTTTTTCCTAATTCTAGGTTTAATACTGGTGTCAGGGTTCCGATGATTGCCCTAATTAAGTCATGAACCTCGAGCCAAGCTTCAAAAGAATTCAAAAGGTTTATTAGAAGCAATATATATGAAGCCAACTCTGAGACATGTAATTTACTGTTTCCCCCACCCCCCTGGGTGTGTCATATATCAGATTCTCCAACGAAACAGGTTCATGAGCTGGGTGTCATCAATCACGTTCTCCAATGAAAGATTTTCAAGGACAGAAGATCCAGTAGCCTAGGATACAATCTCCACAAGATAATTATGTGCCTGAATGGTCAAACATCTGGCAACTCCAAATCTCGACCAACAAATGCTCTGTCGTACACATTGGTAAAAAAAAATCAGTACACCAAATACAAATCAGGCGGTTATGACCTCATTGATGATCTTCACTCTGTCAAGGACTTTGGAGTTCTCATATCAAATGATCTAAGCGCCAGAGCTCACTATAACAGCATTGCCAAAAAGGCATTAAGAGTTGTAAATTTAGTCTTACAAAGCTTCTCCTCCGGAAATATTGAATTGCTAACTAGGGCATACAAAACCTTTGCTAGACCAATACTTGAATACAACTCATCAGTCTGGAATCTGCACTGTATATCGGACATTAATATAATTGAGCAAGTCCAGAAGTATTTCATGAGAAGAGTACTACACTCCTCTGCTCACAACAGAATACCCTATATCACCAGGCTTGAGATTTTGGGCTTGGACAATCTTGAACTATTCCACCTATGGTTAGACTTAAGTCTAGCACACAAAATTTTCTGCTACAATGTCCTACCAGTCAATGACTACTTCAGCTTCAACCACAACAAGACAAGAGCACACAACAGACACAAACTCAGTGTAAACTGCTTCAAACTCGATTGCAGAAAGTATGACTTCAGCAACAGAGTGGTCAATGCCTGGAATGCACTACCTGACTCTGTTGTTACATCCTCAAACCCCCACTCCTTTAACCTCAAACTAACCACTGTTGACCACACCCCATTCCTAAGATGTCTGTAAAGGGTGTGCATAAGTGCACCATTGTGCCTCCCGTCCCTGTCCTATTGTCCCCATTTATTCATACCTATTTCCTGTATTCTTACTCATGTTTATACTTATACCTATTATCTAGTAAGCGATTGACAAATAAAATAAGCATGGAATGTGCTTCTGGCCTTCATCTGCTCCGTCAGGCCTTTCTTCCCCGCTCCTTCTAATGTTAACTCAGGAACAGGCATAGGAACGATTTACGAGTTGACAACTGGCTCAAATCTGACTGACATTTGCAAACAACCACATTGGAATTTTTAAAATCTACTATACAAATTTAGGAAAGTGAAAATCAACTGCTGTGGCAGACAAGGTCTACTGTTCTCTGAAGATGTTGAAGATCATTTCCCTCTAAGAGTGATTTTCAAAATCTTGAAGCACCGCAAGAAATTTGGAGGTTGTTGAATACAGGCTTTTTAGAAACTTTTGGGCACCTGGGTGGAAGAGGAAACTATTCCCAATATGTATTAAATTCTTCTTTGTCCCCCTCTTACCTTTTTTCCAGTCCCTGTGTGCTTTCCACAGTTTCACCACAAAGAGAAGGACCATGATGAAGAGAGCAAGAAGGAGAATAGATACAAGGCCTGGGAACAAAATGTTGGCTTGTTCCTCCACAAAGCCTCTGTAAATCATATTTGTTTCTGTTTTGGGGGGAGAAAAAGGAACAGAAAACATTTGAGTTTTGCCATCTTTAGCTTCTATTTCCTAGCAGAAAAATATTGGGGGTTATGAGAGCTGGGAGATCGTATTTCTCCACCAGCTGAGCTTCCATGGAGTAAGATGTCTGGCTCCACCACACCAGCATTCTCCAACTTGCTATTTCCCAGAAAGTTCTGGACTATACACAGAGTTGTATAGTCTTCAAGGGGTCTTGAAGGTCACCTAATCCAACCTCAGGGCAATTTCTATACTAGGAACATCATTCCAAATCAATTAATAAGAACAACATGAACCCATCTGGAATGTCATTAGTTTTGCTTTAGCTAAGTGTCTGAATCCAAATTATGATTTATAGATTAGTGTACTGAGCGTACCTACCTAGCCAAGAAAGACTATTTATAAACCTCAGTTTATACAGAATTCCATGCCCATATACACTTAATCCACTTAATTCCAGAAAGTCAACTAGAAAAACACAAAAAGAGCATATCTTTTAAGCGAATAGTCTGAAATGAAAACTTTATCATCTTCCCTACCTAACCTCTTCCGTGACACCAAACCTCTGGCATCAGAGCAGGAAGGAGACCAAAGAATGAAAAGCATACCAGTTGAACATTAGGAGTAATGTGGGAGCAACTTACTATTGTTTGCCCAAACGTCTATATCTGTACTTGGGAACAGTTTTTGCGTGGTTGGGTTTCCTTCTGTTACATTGAATATTGGATTGGATTCTGTGGAAGGGATGAAAAAGAGGGTTATGGAAAGGAGAAAGGATAAATGTAACCGATTTTGTTAAGGAGAAGAACTGGAAGCAAATTGGGGGTGATGTCCAGAAATACCAGAGAGGATCAATGTTGTAGTCTTACCGTTGGTAGTATGAGAAGTTTGAGTTTCTGCCTCCTTGGTTGGAGACAATGCTGGAATGTTAAAGATTTCTTCTGTCTTCTGTTTTTGTTCTGAATATGTGGAAAAGAAAACAAGGAAGGCTATTAATGCCCAAGAATAACATATAGAAAGGTCAAAATGTGAGAGTCCTACTAGATTAGAAGATCCATTTAGATCAGTCTCTCTCTGTGTCTCTCTGTCTCTCTCTCTCTCTCTGTCTGTCTCTGTCTCTCCTGCAGCAGTCATAAGTGTGAAAAATGGTCATACGTCCCCTACCTCCCACTCACTAAATGAACTATTGTAACTGTTGTGAAAAAGTTATAAGAGCTGGCAAAGTTTCCCATAATCATGTTGCAGCACATCTAAATGGTTGTGTAATTCCTAAGATTTATGCTGTTTATTTTTTAAACACGTTCTCCGTCCTGCTCTCAAACTCTCCACTTACTGGCATGGTCCAGGTGCAAAGTCACAGTTAAATTTCTCTTTCCTAAGGCTTTGTGGTATATCACACAAGAAACGACAGAGCCCCGGGGGAATGCGTAGATGGACAACTTGCTTATGGAATGGAACCTCTTTTCTTCCAATTGGTGTTGAGTGTTTCCTAAAATGCCTTGAAGAATGCAAAAAGAGATAATGAGGATGAGGATGAGGATGATAACAAAATAATAATAGAACTCTTTATTGACCAAGTGTGATTGGACACACAAGGCATTTGTCTTCAGTGCATGAGCTAATCTGTGTACATAAAAGCTATAAGTGATCATCATGATCATAAAAATATATTTATCATAAATTCATCATAAAAATACATTAATCAAGAATCATAAGATACATAAAGATATATTAAAAATACATTCATCAAGAATCATAAGATACAACACTTAGTGATTGTCATAGGATACGAAACAAGCAATCAACATAAATCATACTAGAAAAGTAAACAAAACAGTATAAATCGTAAAGATACAAGCAACCAAGTTACAGTCATAAGTAGAAGGAAGATAGGTAACAGGAAAGATTAGAAGAATCATTGTAATACAGCCTTACTAAATAGTTTGACAGTGTTGTGAGAATAAGTTATTTAGCAGAGTGATGGCATGGGAGGAGAAACTGTCGTTGTGTCTAGTTGTTCTGGTGTGCAATGCTGTAGTGTTATTTGAGGGTAGAAGTTGAAACAATTTATGTCCAGGATGTGAGGGGTCTATAGATACTTTCACAGCCCACTTTTTGACTCGTGCAGTATACAGGCCCTCAGTGGAAGGCAGGTTGGTAGCAATTGCCTTTTTCTGCAGTTCTAATTATCCTGTTATAATATCAAAATAGGATAATTAGAACTGCATAAGCAAGACTAAAATATCTGGAGAGTGGATGCGGTAATACCTGGAGGTATCAGGAGAGAAGAGAAAGAACTCTTTAAACACAAAGACCAACAAATAGAAGTAGAATGACAATGGCAAAAGAAAGCAAAGATAATACTGCGAGCAATTTGGTGCAATCCAAAAACATCTGGAATAGTTTTTTTTTTTTTAGAATGCTTAATGTTATTTTTATTGAATGCGGATTATAAACCAAGTTCACTGCTTAATACAATGGACCCAACTAGTAAATAAACAAATGAACAACTTGTTATTAAAGCAGGTAATTGCTTAGTGTTTTTTCAGCGTTATTGAAGAAGGGCTATTAAAAGGCAAAGGATGGTCTGGAAAGATATAGAAACAGTTTAACAGAGTTGGAAGGGACCTTGTAGGTCATCTACTCCAACCCCCTGCCCAAGCATCATTTCTGACAGATGGCAGTCCAGTTTCTTCTTGAAAGCTTCTAATGATGAAGCTCCCACAACTTCCAAAAGAAAAATAAAGTTATTTGAAACATACCAAAGATTTCCATTCCGTTCTGTAGCAGCCAGGTGATTTGAGGAGCAGGCCAGCTTCCCTCAGTGGAACACCTTAAGACAATATTTTCTTCTGTTTGGTTTACTGTGGCCCTCAAATCCTCCAACAAAGGTCTAGAAGGTGGAGCTGTACAAAGAAGAGAATTCATTAGGTTGTAGTCTTCCTGTTAGAATTTTATTTCTGTTGAAAGGAATGGGACAGGATCAGGGTGGATTTGATTTAAATCAAGTCGATTTAAATCATGATTTAACTCACTGGTAAAAAGGCTTGATATAAATCAACTCAATTTAAATCATAATTTTTAAAGAGCACCTGACATCTCTGACCCGCTGTGGACAGTCCCAATATTGCAAAATAAACCACCTTATGCTACATAACTAAGCTCCATTTCATGCTGTCGGAGTGTTTGCAGCATGACTATTATTACGAGACAACCCAGGAGCAAAACACAGCACACAGAGACTTAGATATTTAACAGTGGTTTATATACAAGGCATATACAGAAATATATGTGGTAGGCAGATACCTGCAATCAATCTTCTTAACTCTACAAGGAGAACTCTGAAATGGATACAGGACACAAGGAGAGAGAAAGACACTCCCTCTAATGGCTGCCTTATATAAGCACCTCTTAAAGAGGTAAAGACTTCTGTGGACCCCATACATAGTCTTAAAAAGGCAATACCCATGTTATTCTGATTCATCCTTATTGCATCAGCCTTACAGCAACTGGTCAGCCCTTAAATCTCAACACCTTAACACATGCTGAATAAACTAAATTATTAATGCCTCTTAAATAGAAAGCTATCTTTAGATAGATTTTTACTCCAAAAGCATTTTATTAAAATAAATTTGATAAAAAAAATTTAAAAATTCATTTTTTAAAAAATAGTTGATTTTTATCCATCCTGGACAGGATCACCTCACCCGCATATTTGGAGGAGAGATATAAAGCAAATGAACTCTAAGATTACAGTTTATGACTACAACGGAGCCCAACATTTCCGTTGCTAAGTGAGACAGTTAAATGACTCTTGCCACAATCGTTAAGCGAACCACTGCGGTTATTAAGTAAGTAATACGGTTGTTAAATGAACCCAGAATGGCTTTCAGTTCAGCTCAAAACCATCCTAGCCATCTCCACAAGCCGCCATTCATTGAAAGGTAGGAGTTTCAGATCTTACCCCAAACTGTAACGTTCACAAGTTTGGTTCCAATATTCTCGCTGTAGTAGAGACAAGTGAACAGTCCCTCGTCATGTCTTGTTACATTGGAAAGACGAATGGACAGCGAATCGTTGGAGTAATGCAGAAGTTGGTACCTCCCCTTTTCTGTGCCTGTTTCAAAGAGAGAGATAAATATTGGTAAGGTAAGGCCACACTTGGAATCCCGCATCCAGTTTTGGTTGCCACAATGAAAACAAGATGTTGGAATTCTAGAAAGAGTGCAGAGAAGAGCCACAAAGAGGATTAGGGGACTGGAGGCTAAAACATATGAAGAACGGTTGCTGGAACTGGATATGTCCAGTTTGATGAAAAGAAGGACTAGGGGTGACATGATAGCGGTGTTCCAATATCTCAGGGGCTGCCACAAAGAAGAGGGCGTCAAGCTATTCTCCAAAGCACCTGAGGGCAGGACAAGAAGCAATGGGTGGAAACTAATCAAGGAGAGAAGCAACCTAGAACTAAGAAGACATTTCCTGACAGTTAGAACAATTCACCAGTGGAACAACTTGCCTCCAGAAGTTATGAACGCTCCAGTGCTGGATGTTTTTAAGAAGTTGGTTAACCATTTGTCTGAAGTGGTGTAGGGTTTCCTGCCTAGGCAGGGGGTTGGACTAGAAGACCTCCAATGTCCCTTCCAACTCTGCTATTCTATTCTATTCTATTCTATTCTATTCTATTCTATTCTATTCCATTCCATTCCATTCCATTCCATTCCACTCCACTCCACTCCACTCCACTCCACTCCATTCCATTCCATTCCATTCCATTCCATACCATTCTATTCTATTCTATTCTATTCTATTCTATTCTATTCTATTCTATGCTACTTTATTCTACTCTACTCTATTCTACTCTACTCTACTCTATTATTCTATTCAATGCTACTCTACTGTACTCTACTCTACTGTACTCTACTGTACTCTACTCTACACTACACTACACTACTCTAATCTATCAATATATGGATGGGATTTTTCTGCAAGCTCTTTCTTCTAAGCACTGAACTGGTTCTGGCTCATTATGAAGGGATGAACTTAAACATGGATGGGATTTGTTAAAGTGGCAAGGCAAGGGGCATACAAAGCACCTGTACTGAAAATGAGTATGGAAGTAGCCCTTGACGTGGGACCAAGATTGAGCCCAAAATTTCTGCTGCTAAGTTTTTAAGCAAGTTTGGCCCCATTTTCTGGCCACAGTGGTTAAGTGAATCACTGCAGTTGTCCCAAAGGTGCTTTTTTTTCCCCAAGGGGCAACTGGACTTTCTTGTTTTTCTTTGAAGATGTTTCGCTTCTCAGATTAACAGAGTTGGAAGGGATCTGGTAGGTCATCTAGTCCAACTCCCTGCCCAAGCAGGTGACCCTATGCCATTTTTGTCCAGTCTCTTCTTGAAAGCCTCCAGGGATGAAGCTCCCACAGCTTCTGAAGGCAACTTCTGTTCCATTGGTTGATTCTTCTCCCTGTCAGAAAATTCCTCCTTATTTCCAGGTTGAATCTCTCCTTGGTCAGTTTCCATTCATTATTCCTTGTCTGGCCTTCAGGTGCTTTAGAAAATAGCTTGACCCCCTCCTCCTCTCTGTAGCAGCCCCTCAAATATTGGAAGACTGCTCTCCTGTCTCCCCTGGTCCTTCTCTTCCCTAGACTAGCCAGGCCCAGTTCCTGTAACCGTTCTTTGTACGTTTTAGTCTCCAGTCCCCTCATCATCCTGGTTGCTCTTCTTGGCACTCTTTCTGAATATTGGAAGACTGCTATCATGATATGTGTGGGTATATGCATATGATACCTTGATTATGCTGCCTAGTTTGGGTTGTGAAACAATTGAAAGAAAATCACCAAGCCCAGAGAGCACCAAGGACTCCACAATGAGCAAATACTTCCATCAAAATAGATCAATAAATCGATACATGCTTGCTCAGGACTTAGCTGTAGCTCAACACAACTGAACATCACGAGGAGAGCTTTCTTGTTGAAGAGAGTGAACACTTTTAAGTATTTCTTTTAAAAAAAGAAAAGGAAGGATTGTGGAGGCGGCAATCAAACTATCAGAATTGCCCTCTTCACACATCCTAACCCCAGTGTGGTTTTAAACCAAGAGGGCAGGTTGTGAAAATGGATTTAGGTCAGCCTGTTGCAAAATCCCCTCCTTGTCTCCATCCAGTGGAAAAACGTCGGCGCCCTCATCCCAACTTCGACCTACCGTGCCAATGGTTGAAAAATATCGTAAAGCCGCTGGGATCCTTCCATTCTAGAGCGGAGGTGTTGCCTTTACTGTTGACGCAGTGGAGATCCAGATTCTGGCCTTCCTCCAAGCAGAGATGTTCCATGAGGACCTGGGCAAAAATCCCTAGGGAAGAAAAGGATTTGTAAAGAGTCACTCCAGGGAGGCCCCGAGTTTGAGTCCTTTCGAGTAAAATACAAGCGTGGCCTCCCATCAGCCTCTTACAGAATTGCTACATTCCTCCAATCTCTTGGGGAAAGGTACCTTTGACTCAATATGTATTCTTCTCTCTCTTTCTCTCTCTTTCTGTCTCCCTCCTTCTCTCTTTCCCTCTCCTTCCCTCCCTCTTTCTCTCCCTCCCTCTCTCCCTTTCCCTCTTTTTTCTCTCTCCCTTTCCCTTTCTTTCTCTCCCTCTCTCCCTTCCCTGTCCCTCCCTCTTTCTTTCTCTCCCTCCCTCTCTTTCTCTCCTTTCCTTTCCCTCTCTCTCCCTCTCTTTCCCTTCCTCCTTCTCTCCCTCTCTCCCTCTATTTCTCTCCCTTCCTTTCCCTCTACCTCCCTCCCTCTTTTTCTTCATTCCTCTTTCCCTCTCCTTCCCTCTCTTTGTCTCCCTTTTTCTTTCTCTCCCTCCCTCCCTCTCCCTCTCTCTTTCTCCCTCCCTCCCCCCTTTCCCTGTCCCTCTCCTTATCTCTCCCCCCCCCCTCCCCCTCCTTCCCTCTCTCTCTCTCTCTCTCTCCCTCCCTCCCTTTTTCTTTCTCTCTCCCTCTCCCTCCGTTTTTCTCTCTCTCTTAAATACATATACACACACAGTATTGCAGCTGAATTCTTATTTTCTCCTAACACATCCTACCCATTGGCTGGACCTAATGCCTTGTGTGAACCAGACAGATATGGACTTCCTTACAAAGGTATTTGCCCAAAGACACTTAAACACGTGATGGTTAGGTCCCATAATTGATGCCAAGGATTCATTTATTCTAAATAAAAAGCTCCATCCTCCAGGCCATGAGCTTCCAAGCTGTTCACAATAAAAGAAGGTTATAAAAGCACCCCATTTATCCCTCAACCCCTCCCCATTAAACCCATATTGCCAATTAAGCTAAAATCCTCAGCCCCAATCCAAGATCGAATAACTCCAAAATGCAAGGGGGAGCCAGCCCAATCCAGGGGCTGAATTCTACCCACCCAAGGGCTGCTTCCGTCCTATCTTTCTGATTCATTTCGCCCACCTAAAATAATCTCGCACTTCTACAAACACTGGAGTTTCCCCGAAGTTGGTTGATACCTCCACCCTATCTGTGAAAAGGTGTCACTGTGGCTGGAGTGCGTCTTTTCCATAGGGTGGAATAAGTGAAAACGTTCCAAAATGCTCATATCAAAGGGAAACTTTGTCAAGTTTTCTCCCGGGGGCTCAAGAGGCGGCGTTTGTGGTCTTCCGGCGGACTCATCATTAGTTTCACTGTTTCCTGCTGCAGCTCTGCTCGCAAACTGTGAAATGAGGCCGAAAGGAAACACGCACGCCAACAGAGATTGGGCTCCAGAATCAATTATGCATTTCCTTTCCATGTGAGGTCTTAGAAAAACCAAGAGTGAACAAAAGACAGAAGGTATGGTTGAAATACACGCAAGTGTGTATTTTAAATGGAACCAAGTATGTGGAGAAAAGAAGAATTAGGGGTTGACATGATAGCAGTATTCCATACTTGAGGGGCTGCCACAAAGAAAAGGGGGTCAACTGTTTGAACAGAGGACTGGATTAGAAAACCTCCAAGGTCCCTTCCAGCTCTATTCTATTCTAATAGTACTAATAATAGTATTCTAAAAGTGTAGGAGTACTACACTCCTCTGCTTGCAACAGAATACCCTACACCCGCAAGCTTGAAATGTTGGGCTTGGACAACCTTGAACTACGTCGGCTAAGATTGGACTTAAGCGTAGCACACAAAATTATCTGCTACAATGTCCTGCCAGTTAATGACTACTTCAGCTTCAACCACAACAATACAAGAGCACACAACAGATACAAACTCAACGTAAATTGCTTCAAACTCGATTGCAGAAAGTACGACTTCAGGAATTCAGGAATTGCCAAGTTGAGTGCAGACATTGCCCTAAGCCGGGGTTCTCCAAAATGGTCACTATTAACCCACCACGGTTGGTGGGACTATCCATTATGGTTGTTATGGTTATTATTATTCATAGTGTTACTAGGAAATGTACTTATTATTAAACAATTTTCATCTAAGAAATGAACATGGCGGCGCGAGAAAGACTTTGAGAAATGGAGTGAAGAGATGCTACCTAGGGAAGGATAGGATAAGAAATAGAATAGCAGAGTTGGAAGGGACCTTAGAGGTCTTCTAGTCCAGTGGCCCCAAACCTTTTTTGTGCCATGGACCAGTACCGGCATCACAAAATGATCCACAGCCCGGTACCGGCATCAGCACGCATGACAAGGCAAGACGAACCGAGCGACCGGCCAGCCAGCTGTCCCCCACTTCTCCCTGCCACCTTCAACTCCTCCTTTGTACCTTTTTTTGTGCTTTTTTGTACTTTCTTAATCTCCTCCGCCATTGGGACTGCTCTTCGTTTGAAGCCGCCCCCCCCCCGCTTCGATGAAACTAAGGCGCGAGGATTCCTTCAGGACCCAAACACCGCTTTCCAACTGGAAAAGCTCACCCGGAAGCACTTTCTCATGAAACAAGATGGCGGCGCCCAGCAAACCAGCGGCCTGGTAGAAAATGATCCACGGACCGGTACCGTTCTGGGGACCGGTGGTTGGGGACCCCTGTTCTAGTCCAACCCCCTTCTTAGGCAGGAAACCCTACACCGCTTCAGACAAATGGTTGTCCAAACTCTTCTTAAAAACTTCCAGTGTTGAAGCATTCACAACTTCTGGAGGTATTAATTGTTCTGACTGTCAGGAAATTTCTCCTTAGTTCTAAGTTGCTTCTCTCCTTGATTATTTTCCACCCATTGATTCTTGTCCTACTCTCTGGTGCTTTGGAAAATAGCTTGATTCCTTCTTCTATGGGGCAGCCCCTGAGATATTGGAAGACTGCTATCATGTCACCCCTTGTCCTTCTTTTCATCAGACTAGACATACCCAGTTCCTGCAACCATTCTTCATATGGTTTAGTCTCCAGTCCCCTAATCATCCTGGTTGCTCTTCTCTGCGCTCTTTCTAGAGTCTCAACATCTTTTTTACATGGTGGTGACCAAACTTGAATGCAGTATTCCAAGTGTGGCCTTAGGAAGGCATTATAAAGTGTAATTAACTTTATAGAGATGATACAGTCCGCAACTGTGTAATAGGCAGTGAAAGAAGATGAACAGAAACCCGTCCTAACTTCTCAGGCTTCAGAGGAAGCACTACAAGATTTGCCCTTCCGACTTGCAAGACTCTGTTAATCTAGAATCACAATAAAGTCAGAGTTGCTGCAATAAAGGATAATATTTGTAGGTTAGTATTGAAATGTAGGGTCCCTGGTGCTTGGTTATTTCTTGCAAGAAAACAACCAAGCTCAGAGAACACCGGGGGGCGGGGGGGCTAAGAGTAGCTCATCTCATCATAAACATTATAATCCCAACAACTGTGGCAACTCATAGCAGTAACTGTGACAGGATCTTGGAATCTTAGTGGACAACCAGTTAAATAGGAGCCAGTAGTGTGTGACAGCAGCCAAAAAAGCCAATGCAATCCTAAGTTGCATTAACAGACGGATACAATCAAGATCAAGGGAGGTACTAATACCACTCTATAAAACCTTAGTAAGACCAACACTTAGAGTGCTGCATCCAGTTTTGGTCACCACACTATAAAAAAAAACATTAAGACTCTAGAAAGAGTGCAGAGAAGAGCAACCAGGATGATTAGGGGACTGGAGATGAAAACATATGAAGAATGGTTACAGGAACTGGGCCTGGCTAGTTTAGGGAAGAGAAGGACCAGGGAAGACATGATAGCAGTCTTCCAATATTTGAGGGGCTGCCACAGAGAGGAGAAGGGGGTCAAGCTATTTTCTAAAGCACCCAAAGGCCAGAGAATAAATAATGGATGGAAACTGAACAAGGTGAGATTCAACCTGGAAATAAGGAGAAATTTTCTGACAGTAAGAGCAATCCACCAAAGGAACAGAAGTTGCCTTCAGAAGTTTTGGGAGCTTCATCCCTGGAGGCTTTCAAGAAGAGAATGGACTGCCATCTGTCAGAAATGGGGTAGGGTTGCCTGTTTGGGCAGGTGTGTGTGTGAGTTGGATTACATGACCTACCAGGTCCCTTCCAACTCTGTTAATCTGTTTCTAACTCCCGGCAGAGAGAAACGTGAGTAATCCAACCCAATGACCCCGAAGATCTCATTCATTGAAAGAATCTTCAACCTTGAGAAGAGTCCATGCAATGAAGCCACCGCCAGCTGGCCCTACTCCCTGAAGACCAAGGAGGACATTAGCTTGGTCTCAACACCCACTTGAAGGTGGTGAAGCTGAGCCGAACCTGATCCTAAAGGAGCCGCAAGTTCCTCTACCGAGCTGGTTATCTGAAAGCCACCAAGGTATCCCTAGAACCAAACGCTTGGCACGGAATTCGAGCAGACGCTCTGGGGTTACGTACCTCGCAGTGACAGGAAAGCCAGCACCCAGACTTGAGGAAGGCCAGTCATCTCGAGGTGATGCTTGATTAGCTTCCTCTCTCCTTTCGATCTCAGGGGGTTGCCGACGACATCTCCTTTTCAACAGCGCTGCAAAAGTCATGTACCATGACTTCATCAGTGGCAGGTCGGCCCCCTTCCTCTTGACTCCTTCCCCCTCCACCCGTATCTTCACAGTTCCCTTCACAGCAAAGGGACAACAGATCTCCAGGCTTGTGGGTGGGGAAATCTGCACCTCTCTCTGCAGAGTGTTCCAGACTTCGCTTTGTGGTCAGTGCTGAAGCGCAGCTCAACCACGAACTCTTTGACTATGAAATGGAGGCACAAAAAAAATTGTAAACCAACCGGCACACTGCTTGCATACTTGTGGAAGGAAGGTTGATGTTTTTTATGTTTTGTTTGTTTATGTTTGTCTTTAAAGATCAATAAAAAATTTACAACAAAACAAAACAAAACCACGAACTCTTGCAAGATGCATTGTGCATGCATCTCATAGCTTCCTGGTGGGTGTGTCCCAAATTGCCTCTCATACAAATGGGGCAAGGAAGCCACGGTACACTTCTGCAGGACTGGTCAACTGCTGGTTCCTTAAGGAACATGGATTTTTGTCTTCGGTGAACCACAACGCTCCAGTGACATCTGTCTTCCTGTCTATCATCTCTCTCTTTCTCTATCATCTTTCTCAACCCTGATGCTAATCATAACCATTACAAGCTATTCCTGGTTACTTCCACTTGCAAACGCATTGTCATATTGAATTGCATCAGGCAGAGAGCCCCAGGGCATGTCTGTTTCAGCCCCTCCTCTCCCCGTACTCCCCCCAAAATCATGGACATTCTTTCAAGTAGCCATGTCAACTTTGTTGTGGCCTGCCGGCAGCTAGCAGAGCTGGCAACAGAGTCAGACAGTGAGGAGGTTGGGGAGGAACCTGGGCCAGTCCTGGAGGCTGAGGAAGGCCAGGATGAGGGCTCTGCATCAGAGGCAGAGATGGGGCCAGGGCAGGCTAGCAGTCATCAGCTGCCTTCATAGTCGGACAGCAGTGAGGCGGGGGAGCAGCTGGAGCCGGTTCCCAGCCTGCGCATGCGCAGAGCTGCCAAAAGAAAAGAAGACTCATGAACTAAGGATCGATGTGGGAGTAAGGCCACAGGTGAACAGTAAATAGCCCCTGTCATAGGGATTAAAAGAGGAGCAAAAGGGGAGGGGGCTTTTGCAGGAAACAATTCGTTCATTGCAGCGGTGTGAAGATCTGCCTGTGCATCTCAGAGACCCTGTGCCAAGCCCTTCCTTGTCAGCACTGCATTTGGAAATATTCACTCCAAGCTAGATAAGGTCTGTGCTCCCAATTAGACCCTTGAAAGACTGTTTGCCAGGCCTTTGGCTGAAGGTGAATGCAAGAAATTCGCCTTCGTTTAATAAAAGGGGTTTTGCTGGGAAAGCCTAAGTCAGAACAACTGACTAAGTCAGAACAACCTTGCCCTAGCACTTCGGTTTGCACAGATGTGGTGTTGCACTTACCTGATCAATTCTGCTTCCAGCACAACCCCTTCTGAGTAGTGCTACCTCATTCCTCCTGTTATTCAAACCATGTTTATCCCACGTACTAGCCCAAGGATTGCGTTGCATTGGTTTTCTAGTGCTGTTGATGGACTTCAGAGGAAGTGAAAATGGGACTGTCCTTGCAAATTAGATGTTTAAAAAAAGTCCTGCGCCTTGCAATGAAGTGCATTCTTGCCAACCCCAAAAGAACCAGGCATGGCTAGTCTAGGGAAGAGAAGAACCAGGGGAGACATGATAGCAGTGTGCCAATATTTGAGGGGCTGCCACAGAGAGGAGGAAGGGGTCAAGCTATTTTCCAAAGCACCTGTAGGCCAGACAAGGAATAATAATGGATGGAAACTGATCAAGAAGAGATTCAACCTGAAAATAAGCAGAAACTTTCTGACAGTGAGAGCAATCAACCCATGGAACAGAAGTTGCCTTCAGAAGTTGTGGGAGCTTTCAAGAAGAGACTGGACTGCCATTTATCCTGCTTTGGTGGGGGTTGGACTAGATGAGCTACAAGGTCCCTTCCAACCCTATTAAACTTGAACCGTCATCTTTTAAAATCCCTTTTTGGTCTGTGGGACTCCCCCTCTCGTAAATTTTATTCAACTTGCAATGTCTGTTCCTTAGCTACGATGGGAAAGGGACAATAATATCCCTATTTTTTTTGTATTGTACCCTTTTTAGAAAGGGTTTAGAAAAGGTCTACCGTATCCTGTTTTAGTTGTTCCTCTGGCCAAATTGGAAATCACCATACGCCGACTCAATTAGGGGACTAGAGGCTAAAACATAAAGAACGGTAACTGGAATTGGGTATGTCTAGTTTGATGAAAAGAAGACCCAGGGGTGACATGATAGCAGTGTTCCAATATCTCAGGGGCTGCCCCAAAGAAGAGGGAGTCAAGCTATTCTCCAAAGCACCTGAGGGCAGGACAAGAAGCAATGGGTGGAAATTAATCAAGGAGAGAAGCAACCTCGAACTAAGGAGGAATTTCCTGACAGTGGGAATAATTAATCACTGTACCAATTTGCCTCCAGAAATTGTAAACGCTCCAACACTGGAAGTTTTTAAGAAGAGATTGGATAATTGTTTGAAATGCTAGAGGGTTTCCTTCTTAAGCAAAGGGTTGGACTAGAAGACCTCCAAGGTCCCTTCCAAAGCTGTTATTCTATCGCATTCTAATTGTTCCCAGACCTTGCACCAAATCATCTTGTGGGGAGACGGTGAAAACCCTTTCGCAGAAGGAACACAAATAAAGAAATGTACACGTTGAATAGTGCGGTTGTGAGAAACTGAGACCGATTTCTTTTATTGAGATCAATTTCTTTTAAAATGACAACATGTGGAAATTGAGCAGTAACAGAAAAAAAAAATTAAGCAGCAATTCTCTCCTTTAACACACACACACACACACACACACACATACACACACACACAATTCACATCCAAATGAAAAATCTGCAAAAGGAGGCATAGGATTTCTCTTTCATACCAGATAACACTCTCAAAAACCTAAAGCAACTATAAACAGGACGTTGCTTATTTAGCACCAATCCCTTGAACAGAAAATCTTAGTCCACTCCAAACTCCCTGCAAACTCTTTTTAAAAACAAAAACAAAACAACAATAACAATAACCAAAAAAAAAACACACAACGAAAAACTAATATTTGGTTGTGGGAAGGAGATTAGGTAAACCTTTCCCAAAGATTCCCAAAATATATATTTTTGCATGTCATTCTTTTTTTTTTAAGATTCTTTGCTTCCCATTTCCCTGAATTCAGCAGTTTCCTTTCGAGAGAGATGTACTGGCTGGGAAAACAGCCCTATCACACCTGAGAAGTCTCCCTTCCCCAAATCAGTGCGCAAAATCGCTAACATGCTATAAAAGAGCTACTTGGTGGGGGGGAAAAATGGACATTTATCCAATCGCCCCTACAGAAGCATCAATAGTAACAACTGAGTTAGACCCTGGAATGTGTACTTAGTGAACGAGGTTTGATACATGAAGGATTGACCAACTTTGGGGATGGATGCTATGCAAACATTTTTTTCTCTTTTGTACAGTACATCATTAAGTATGAACAACCTGCAAGCTGTCAGTGCAAAAAAAAAAAACAAACCTACAATTCCCACCCCAATTAAATACATATCAGTCAACAATAGGTTGGTGTTGATTGTCAAACACAGTTTCAAAGATCACAAAGACTCTTCCAGAAAAACCAGCCTGAATAAGCTAGACTCTCATTTTTAGAATATCTGTACATAGCCAAAAATATTTTAAATTACATACATACACACGTATGTATGTATGTGCAGGTGTGTGTGTATATACACATATGTATACATTCCCCAAAATACTAGCAGCAACCAACTGCATAATACAAGGCCTACAATTGCTCTTCCTGCTCTCGGCTGCAACTTCTCGACTGTACATCCCTGGTTAAAAAGAACGTTTTTCAGAATGCCTTGCTGACTTTTACATGGGTAGAATGTACATAATTTAAGTAAATTTACATATTGCACACAAGGAGCTCTCAGGGATCGGTGCAGTGTCCTCTGCTACCCTTGGCAGAAGCTCCTTTTTTTAAAGCAAAGTTATTCTATATATATATGTGTGTGTGTGTGTGTGTAAGATGCAAATGGCAATTATTATTTATTTGAACTGGCCAGCCACGTGGCATCTCTGTTCAGGGCTGGCCGGCCCTACCCTTTGGAAGAATTCAGGAAGGTGCCAACCAAGGTTTGGGAGGCATAAACTCTGCGCCCAGAGAACCGACTTGGTGCTACCTAAACTAGTCTTTGAGCCTTTTGAGGTGCAGTCGGGAAGGAGGTGGCAACGGAACCACATCGCCACTGCAGTTGAAGAAAGATTCACCTCGGCAGTTGGGTTGACTTTGGTAGGCGGATTAAAAGAGAGCATCGTTTTGAGCGTTACTTTAGGGGAGTACAATCTTTCCGGTGGAATTGAAGCGGATCGTTCCACCATTTAAGCCACTTGTAGAACTAAGGCCATGATGGAGAACCTATGGCACGCGTGCCACAGGTGGCAAGTAGAGCCATTTGTGTGGGCAGGCGAGCCACAGCCAAATTTACCCGCACTGCTCATGCGCATGCCTCCCAGCTGATTTTCGACCCGTTTGAGGCCATTTTCGCCCTCCTGGAAGCTTAAGGGAAGCCTCTCAGCTTCAGGAGGCCGAAAAACAGGGCTTCTGGAAATACCGGAAGTGATGAAATAGGCCCGTTTTCAGCCTCCCGATGCATGCGCGGGGGGGCGGGGCAGTGCTCATTGCATTGTGGGCGCTTTCGGCACACCACAACAAAATGGTTCGCCACCACTGCACTAAGGAATATAGGCCATCCTTGACTTAACAACCATTTGCTTAGCAACTGTAGGGAGGGCTGACAAAATGACTTACAACCAGTCACGCAATCAAAATTGGCAACCAATATATATTTATGACAGCTGC